CATGAGAATGTTATTGTGCCAGGGCCATTCTTCTGTCACACAGAAAAGGCACCCAATGATTCTGAGTATGTACAGCAGGACTCACCTCATGTGTTTCACATGCTTCAGGCGTGGTTTTCTTTCTTTAAGAATTTTTTAAATTTATTGTTTGGTGAGAGAGAGAGATAGATAGATATTGGTTGCTCCACTTATTGATGCATTCAATTAGTTAATTCTTATATCTGTCCTGACCAGGGACTGAACCCACAACCTTGGTGTATCTGGATGGCTCTCTAACCAACTGAGCTACCCAGTCAGCGCCTTCAGGTGTGGTTTTCACTCTGCCTTGGCCTTCCCTGTACTCACCGCAGTCACCTCTGATGTGCTCTGAGAACTTCAATGTGCTGCGAACTATACTCATTATAATTTTGCTCCTTCTTCACAAGAATCCTGTGAACTAAGGACTGTTAGTCAGGGGGTGGGGTGAGGTTGTGAAATATGATATATAGAAATGAAGACAACATAGTGGAAAACTTAGGGAATGGCCACAGTCAGAACACCAAGATCTCTGGTCCAGAACCTACGTTAAGAAATAGGCATGTAGGGCGCATGTCAAAGGTATGGTGATGGAAGGAGACAAGACTTGGGATGATGAGCACACAATGCAAAATATAGACGATGTACACCTGAAACCTGTATAATCGTATTAACCAACGTCACCCCAAAATGTTTAAGTTTAAGAAGAAATAGACATTATTAGGTCCTTTGCCGGCTCTGCCTACCCAGCCCCAGCTGCATGCCCTCTCCACACTCAATATTTGCCAAATGAAGTGAATTTTATGTTAATTATCCTCCCCCCCGACTTTATATTTTCCCCACTGATAAATGTTCCCCTAAGAGATATATTTAGTTTTCCCTGATTTGAATTTTATAATGAAAAGATCCTTCTAAGACTTTTTCTTTCGCTCACTGTTTGTTCTTGAGATGCAGCAGAGTTAAATCTGTGTGTGCAACCACTTATTTTTTTTCCTGCCTTACAGTATAACATGTATAAATATATCACAGTTTATCCATTCTGCTTCTTTCTTTCAGATCCATCGTCTCGTCCACTGAACTGGCTATACTTTGAGAATTACGTTGAAGTAGGATTAGTGACAGAGGGCATGACTGTCTTGTATCTTAAAGGGTATTCTTTCAACATTTAAAAAATATGTTTTTTTCATTGATTTCAGAGAGAGAGAGAGAGAGAGAGAGAGAGAGAGAGAGAGAAATATCAATGATGAGAGAGAATCATCGATTGGCTGCCTCTTGCATGCCCCATTTTGGGGATCAAGCCCACAACCTAGGCATGTGCCCTAACCAGGAATTGAACCATGACCTCCAGGTTCATGGGGGATGCTCAACCACTTAGCCACACCAGCTGGGCCTTTCATAATTTTTCATTAATTATGAGGTTTTATGGTTTTTTTCCCCTATTTTTTTAAATGCCCACCCATGGATATGTTTTATTGATATTTTTTGAGGGAGAGATAGCAGAAGAGAGAGACAGAAACTCCGATTTGCTATTCCACTCAATGCATTCATTGGTTGATTCTTGTATGTGCCCTGAACAGAGATGGAACCTGCAACCTTGGCATATGGGGAGATGCTCCAACCAACTGAGCTACCCAGCCATCTTTAAAGGTTCCAGGTGAGTGGGTTTGGGGCTGAGGAGTGCCTCCACGACACCTATCACCTGTGTGAGGCCTGTGTCTTCTGATAGCATCCATTCCGATCCTTACCTCATCCCCCTGTTGACAGGCTCCTCGTCAGATCCCGATGTAGCCCGACCAGAGTTTTCCTCTTACGTGGTTGCTGGTATGGATGGTTACCTGAAGTTCTTTCCCTCAGCACAGCCCAAATCAATGGTTGGAGGGTTCTCAGCTGGGTGCCCCAAGAGCTCCGATATCACCACTTGGGTGTGGACCACCGTGGAGTCATTGGAGACCGAGAAGGAAGGAGAAGGGATGAGAAGGAAGGAGAAGGAAGGAGAAGGGATGAGAAGGGAGGAGAAGGAAGTAGAATGAAGGAGAGGAAGGAGAAGGAAGGAGAAGGGAGTAGAAGGAAGGAGAGGAAGGAGAAGGAAGAAGCTGGAGAAAGACAGGTGAGCCCCGAAGCCCAGGTGAAGCAATGTCTCCCTTCCCCGGTGAACCTGGTCATCGAGAACCCACCTCAGCCAATAAAAAAGGAAAAGGAAGCTTTGAGTGCACTCAGTTTTTCGCTTCTCCTTCCTGGCTTGCGTGGCTGAGGAACTGGCCCCCGAGACGAGACGTGGTGTCAGAGTTGGTGAGTTCCCTTCCTTGCCAGTTGGCTTCTTTTGACTTAAAAAACCCTTTTCTTTATATTGTTGAAGTTCTCCAGTTTCCTTCCTTCCTTCTTTCCTTCCCTCTCCCTCTCCCTCTCGCTCCCTCTCTCCCTCCCTTTCTCCCTCCCTCTTTTCTTTCTTCTTTCCTTCTTCCCTTCCTCTCTCCCTTCCTCCCTGACTCCCTCCTTTCCTTCCTTCCTTCCTTCTTCCCTTCCTCTCTCCCTTCCTCCCTGACTCCCTCCTTTCCTTCCTTCCTCCCTCCCTCCCTTCCTTTTTTTCGGGTGTGCTGTTTCTCTTAACCAGAAATTCATCTTTGTGGCCTTAGCTGGCCACCACCTTCCCTTTGGTGTGGGACCAGTTCAAGAGGGCTGGGATGTTTTCAATGGTCAGGTTTGGCATTCCATGTCTCCAGGGATGCTCACTCAGGCTCAAAGGCACTGGCTCTTGAGTTTGGCTGTTCCTTGAAGTTTTCTGGGGGAATTCTAACAAAACAGAAACAGACTCAAAGACACAGAGGGCAGACTGACGGTCGCCAGAGGGGAGGGGGTTCGGGGAGCTGGGCAAAAAGGTGAAGGGATTAAGAAGCACAAATTGGTGGTTACAAAATAGTCACGAGATGTAAAGTACAGCACAGGGAATGTAGCCAATGATATTGCAACAACTATGGATGCTGGGTAGTAGACCTACTCAGGGATGACTTTGTAAGTTATATAAATGTCTACTCGCCATGCTTTACACCAGAAACTAATATAATATTGGGTGTCAATTGTAATAAAAACACACACTGTGGAGTGTTGCTGAAGCCGGTTTGGCTCAGTGGATGGAGCGTCGGCCTGCGGACTGAAAGGTCCCAGGTTCGATTCCAGTCAGGGGCATGTACCTGGGTTGCGGGCACTTCCCCATTGGGGGATGTGCAGGAGGCAGCTGATCGATGTTTCTCTCTCATCGATGTTTCTAACCCTCTATCCCTCCCCCTTCCTCTCTGTAAAAAATCAATAAAATATATTTTTTTTAAAAAAAAAAAGAACCACAGTGTTGTCTGAGTCCAACTTTTAAAGTTTCTAGCTTAACAGGTCTGGTATTTCTGGGCATTGGGCCTCTCAAAAAAAATTAATAATCCCAAAACAGCCCAATTTAAACCACCAGGTTAGTAAGAGCATTCAGTCAGTGTTTATGGGGCCTACGGGAACATTTCACAAACTGGGAGATTTCAAATCCACCCCGAGGCGAGGCTTGGAGGCATTGACGTTCCGGGGGCTCATGGAGTGAGAACGAGGAAACTGTTCACCCTTCACAATCCTTGCCTTTTACAGCAGGGTTTCCAGGTAGCAGGGGCTTTGGTGAAAGGCAATGACCTCCTGTCGTCCTCAGGAAGCCGGCTTGAAGCTCCTTGCAGGGTTCTCGTAGGCATTTGCGAGAAATAGCTCGTGCTCATGTTTGTGAAATGAGCCAGGTTTGCTTATGCTGGTGTGGCTTAACTGACTTCATCTGCTCAGAATTCTCCAGTCTGCTCTCCATTTTGCATTCTTTTTGTTTGCTTGTTTGTTTGTTTTTCTTTTTTATTGAGTTTACGGGGTGGCATTGGTTAATAAAATCGTACAGGTTTCAGGTGGACAATTCTACAACACGTCCTCTGTAGATTGTATTGTGTGTTCACCACCCCAAGTCGAGTCTCCTTCCATCGCCATTTGTCCTCCTTTACCCTCTTCTACCTGCCCCCACCTCCCCTTTCCCTCTGGCAGTCACCATACTGTTGTCTGTGTCATGAGTCTTTCTTCTTTTTCCCTTTGTTCAATGCCTTCAACCTTTCACCTAGCCCCCAACACCCTCCTCTCTGACAGATGTCAGTCTGTTCTGTGCATCCATGAGTCTTGTCTCCACTTCGTTTGTTTTAACAGGTTGTTGTTTTTCAGTCCTCACCTGAGGATATTTTTCCCCATTGGTTTTTAGAGAGAGTGGAAGGGAGGGAGGAGGGAGTGGTAGCAGGGGAGAGAAGAGAGAGACATCAATGTAGGAGACACATCTATTGGTTGCCTCCTGCATACACCCAAACTGTGGGCCTGGGAGGTGCCCTTGGCCAGGAATCAAACCCACCACCTTTTGGTGTCCAGGACCATGCTCCAACCAACTGAGCCACCCAGCCGAGGCTATAAGAATGTTGCCTTTTAACACAACTGATATCCCATTTTTATCTTTTAAAAAATACATCTTTGTTGATTTCAAAGAGGAAGGGAGAGGGAAAGAGAGACAGAAACATCAATGATGAGAGAGAATCATTGATTGGCTGCCTCCTGCACGTCCCCCACTGGGGATCAAGCCCACAACTCAGGCATGTGCCCTTGACCAGAATCAAACCTGGGACCCTTCAATCCTCAGACTGACGCTCTATCCACTGAGCAAAACCAGCTAGGGCCCACTTTTATCTTTAACTCAGACATCTTCGAAGGTCAATTGCTAAGGTCATTGCCCCAGAAAGAAAGCCTTGAGATCTCCTTGTTTAATAGACTATCAAAAAGTACCTCCTATTAGGCCACAAGCGCTGTTTTTGCCTTGTTTTTGTTTTTTACTCTGTCCACTTCAAAAGAACGGGTGCCCCTGTGGAATGATTCTCTGATTCCCTCTTGGTTTTCTAGACCCCATCTTCTTTGATCCTCAAGATTCTTGCTAGAGACACAAGATGGAAGAATCCGATTCTTCTGACTCTGACCTGCTGTGGTATTTAGAGAAGCTCAGCAGAAAGGAATGTCACAGTCTGAGGAACCAGCTGGGACAAGAATGCATGGAGATTGGACTCCCACCCATCCCCAGGCTCGAGCTAAGCGAAGAAAATCCAGACCTGGCCAACCAGTTGACAAGGTTTTACGAGGCTCAGCACCTCTGGAATTTAATGTACAACATCTTCCACAAGATCCCACGGAAAGACCTCTGCGAGAAGATCAACGCTAGGCGGAACCGTGAGTCGTGGGTGGGGGAGGGAGGGGCAGTGTTTAGGAAGGCTGGTCGTTTTGATAGAGTGATGTCTCCATTCCTCCAAAGAGGACCAGTGATGGCTTGGGTGTGGGTCTTGCCCCACCTCATGACTTTCTGCTTCTACCCATATTTTCTTCCCTCATGCCGACTGACTTAATGAAAGGAGCTGGATGAAGGGTTAGACCTACCCAAAGAAAGTGCTGTCTGTAGCCTGGCTGGTGTGGATCAGTGGTTGAGCATCAACCCATGCATCACAAAGTGAATAGTTTAATTCCTGGTCATGGCACATGCCCGGGTTGTGGGCTTGATCCCCAGCAGGGGGCATAGAGGAAGCAGCCAATTGATGTTGATGCTTCTCTCTCATCGATGTTTCTATCTCTCTCCTTCTCCCTTACTCTGCCTCTAAAATTAAAAAAGAAAACAACCCCCCCCCCTTTTACAGTGCTGTCTGTACTTAGAGGAGATTGCAAGCATGATGCTTTGGGATAGAACTGTGAGATTTGGCCAAAGAAATCTGAGGGGCTGTGTGCAAAGATTATGGAGAATTAACATACTAGGTACTCTGCTAAGCATATCATGTTCATGGGCTGCCTCAGTCATTACCAAACAACTCTTAAGTGGATGTAATTGTATACCCCAGTGGTAAGAAATGAGTGTATGAGAGGCTAAGAGAAATTACCAAGATCATGGATCTAGTTCAAAGTGCCCCAGAGCTGAGAATCTAAGCCAAACATAGCTGACTAAATGCCAGGGTCTTTTCTCATATTTTTTCCCATTCCTTATATGTTCTCCATCCATCTGGAAAGACTCAAAATATTTAGAGGGAAAGTCAGGTGACTCATGGCTGCAAAGGAGTCACCATGTCTAGACCAAACATGTCTTCAGGTTAACTACCATCCCTTGATCCCCTCCAGACAGTTACAATTCATCTTATGGAAGAAATATTTCAGATCCTCTCTGGTCTTAGCCCCAAATAAGTGATTGGGCATCCACTACTAAATTGTTGCTGATTTTTTTTAGCATAATAATGTGGTCCCCGTGTTTACCACACCTTCTGATGTGAGACGTAAAATAGGAGATTGGTAACGTTTGTTGCGTCTTTCAACACTTAATTGTTGACAAAATCTCTCAAATGAAAAAGTGGATTGCAATTCAAGCAAAATCGTTTTATGGGCAGGGTTTGGGTTTAGCACTGCGGACATGCTATCCACCCCTATGTTCATTGCAGTGTTTCCAATTCGTGTTTTGGATTTCTTTGGACAAATGGCCAGATGTGAGATGACTGGGTCATAAGGTAGTTCTATTAATTTTTTTGGGAACACTCCATACTGTTGTTTTCCATAGTAGCTGCACTAATTAGCAATCCCATCCACACTGCTTGAGGGTTCCAATTTGTCCACTTCCTCACCAATGTGTGCTTGTGGATTTATTGATGATACCATCCTGACTGGTATGAGGTGATATTGATGTGCATTTTGTGGTCTTGATGTGCATTTCTCTGATAAGTGACACTGAACATCTTTTCATGTGTCTGTTGGACATCTGTATGGACATACTGCTCTTCGGCCACTCCTTATAGTATTATAGAACTTGCTTCCATATCTTCTGGCATGAATATTTCTGGAGAAATCATAGGAAAACATGTTTTGGGTTGTTTTCCTTTTTCATAACATTTCCTTCCTGAAGGACTCTGAATCTTCACATTTCTTCTTTTTCTTTTTCTTTTTCTTTTTTTATTTGTTAATCCTCGCCCAAGGATATTTTTCTATTGATTTTTAGAGAGTGGAAGGGAGTAGGAGACACAGAGAGAGAAACATTGATGTGAAAGAGACACATCGATTGGTTGGTGGCCAGGGATTGAGCTGGCAACTGAGGCACGTGCTCATGACCAGAACTGAACCTGGGACCCTTCAGTCTGTGGGCCGATGCTCTATCCACTGAGCCCTAAACCAGTGTGGGCTGTCCCACTTTTCTTTATTTGTTCCTGATAGTGAATATCTTGTCATTGTGTTTGTGATGAATGCTAGGAAGGAGAGACACTGGGTGAAATGGGTGTTTTTGTGTGGTCATGTGTGTGTGTGTCTCTTGAACTTTCATCTCTGTTCTGCATTTCTCTGCCCGGTACTCACTGACTCAGGGAACAAAGAAGCACACAAGATGCTCATCAAGAAAAAGCTCCAGGGGGAAAGATGCCTTCATAACCGTATCCATGACATATTCTGTCAGGACATGATCCTAGAACTTGTCGACAAATTTGATTTTGTCTTTCGTCATGTGAGTCCGGAGGCTGCCAAGGCCCTGAATGTGTTTCTGATAGGACAGGAGGCATCTGGGAAAACGATGGTTCTAAGAGGGGCGCTGTTTGAGTGGGCCAATGGCAACATCTGGGAGGATGTGTTCTCTTACGTGATTCACCTCTCTTCTCACGACATCAACCAGATGACCTCTGGAAGCTTGGTGGCGCTGATCTCCAAGGACTGGCCCGAGGGCCGGGCTCCCGTCGCCGACATCCTCTCCGAGCCCCAGAAGATCCTGTTTATCCTTGAGGACTTGGATGACATGGAACTCACGTTCCGCATAAGCCCGCAGGCTCTGTGCACCGACGGCAGGCAGCAGGTGTCCACGCCCGTCCTCGTGGCCAGTTTGCTGACCAGAAAGCTGGCCCCGGGCTGCCGCTTCCTCATCACGTCCAGGCCCCAAGGCCAGGCTGTCACCTGGACGCTCATGAAGAAGACCGACATGCTCATGACTCTGTCATTCTCCCGTGAAAAGAGGCACAAGTATTTCACCTTATTCTTCAGGGACGGTCAGAGGGCTGAGGCGGCCTTCCAGCTGGTACAGAGGAATGAGCTCTTCTTGCACCTGTGCCAAGCCCCCATCCTCTGCTGGGTCACTTGCGTAGCCCTGCAGCGGCAAATGAACCAGGGGGCTGATTTGAAACGCTCGTGCCAAACGCTCACCGACATCTACACTCATTTTCTGGCGGACACGCTGACCGCCCAGGCTGCCGACCAGCGGCCCGTGGTCCCCCTGCAAAGTCTCTGCTCACTGGCACTGGAAGGGTTGCTCCATAACACATTGCACTTCACCGAGGAGGACCTCAGGAGTGTGGGGTTCACCCAGGCGGATGTCTCCACGTTGCAGACCCTGGAGATTCTCTGGCCCAGCAGCCACCTGAAAGGCCGTTACAGATTCATACACTCGAAAGTCCAGGAGTTCTGTGCAGCCGTTGCGTTCATGCTGCCGCTGGCTGAGCACGGGATCCCCTCGGCCTGGGGGAGGTGTAAAGGGAAACGGGAACTATACGATGATTTCAGTCCCGTCATTGCTTCCTTGTTCGGTCTTCTTAACAAGGAGAGGAGGAAAACTTTCGAGGCGGCCCTCGGCTGCCGTCTCCTGACAGACTATGTCAGCCAGTACCTCCTCACGGAAATGAGGTGTTTTGGTGATAATTTGAAAGCCATTGGGCACCACACACCTATGTTTCATGGTCTCTTTGAGAACCAGGAGGAAGAATATGTGAAACGGATCATGGACTCCTTTTCAGAAGCGAATATTTATGTTAGAGACCATCGGGATCTGATGGTTTCATCCTACTGTCTGGGGTACTGCCAGCGTCTACAGAAACTTAAGTTGAGTATTCAAAACATCTTTGAAAAGAGGTTTAATGAGCAACCAACTCCTAGGTGAGTCTTAAAATTTGTTCCTTTTGTTGTTATTGTTGATACGATTACAGAGGCCCCCATTTCCTCCCTGTGCCCCCCTACCCAACCTTGGACCCCCCTCTTCCCTCTGGCCATCCCCACACTGTTGTCTGTCTATGGGTGATGCCTATAGGGCAGTGGTCAGCAAACTGTGGCTCGCGAGCCACATGCGGCTCTTTGGCCCCTTGAGTGTGGCTCTTCCACAAAATACCGACTTCTGCTCATGGGCCACAAAGTTTCAATCGCACTAGACATGCGCATTCACACGTGGTATTTTGTGGAAGAGCCACATTCAAGGGTCCAAAGAGCCCCATGTTGCTCGTGAACCGCAGTTTGCCAACCACTGCTATAGGGTCTTTGGCTTCACCTTCTTTCATTTTGTTATTTCCTGTATTTCTAAGACCTGCCCATAACTCTAGTGCTTGCTGACCATCCCGGGGCTGAAACTAAAGGTAATACAGTCATCTCTAATGACTGGTGACTTTTTACAATCTCTCAGCTGCAGTTTACATGAGGGTTTCTGGGTTGAATATCAGCCTCATTGACATCTGGGGCCATCAATTGTTTGCTGTCCTGTGACTTGTAAACAGTTACTTTTTTAAAATATATTTTATTGATTTTAGAGAGGAAGGGAGAGAGAAAGATAGAAACATCAATGATGAGAGAGAATCATTGATCGGCTGCCTCCTGCAGGCCCCCCACTGAGGATCGAGCCCACAACTCAGACATGTGCCCTTGGCTGGAATCGAACCTGGGACCCTTCAGTCCGCAGGTCGACGCTCTATCCATTGAACCAAACCAGCCAGGGCAATGTAAGCAGTTTCATAGTATCTCTGACTTTTACCCATGAGACACCAGTAGAACTGGCTCCCCTAGTTGTGACCATTTAAAAAAAAAAAGGCTTTGGACATTACCAAATATCCCAAATCGCCCCTCGTTGATAACCACTGGCTTAACCTAAGTTCTTCTGACCTACTGTGTGGATTAACTGAAATAATCCTTATAAATTTCTTCAGGATGTTCTTAATAGCATAGACTATGAAAAATGTACCATCAATACCAGTGTGATCATCGATATAGGTTCCAGGGATAAGGACATGGACCTTTGTGGGTGGGGCATTATTCTGCTTACTATAGATAATTAGGGGGAAAGTAATACTTGGCCAAAAACCTGAACTAAGTCAGGGAGATGGGGAAAAGTGTTGTAGACAGAGGAAATAGCAAGTACAAAGGGCCTGATGTGGGAGTGTGCCTAGGGTGTTCAGAAAAGAGTAAGGAGGCTGGTGTGGAATGAAGTGTGTATGTGGGGGGAGGGGTGGAGAATAGTAGGAAATGAGGTTAGAGAGATAATGGGCCTTCAGTCCGCAGGTCGATGCTCTATCCATTGAGCCAAGCCAGCCAGGGCAATGTGCAGATATTACAGGGCCTTGTAGGTCACTGTAATAACTGGCTTTAGCCAGAAAAGGTGGAAAACAAATAGAATGAGACTGTTGCTGTGGTGAGAACAGACTTTGGGGTAAGGGGGAGGGTGAAAGCAAGGAGGCCAGGTAGAAGGCTACTGCAATAATTCAGGTGAGGGTTGGTGGTGGCTTGGATATAAAGGAGGGTGGGTGCCCAGCCAGGGTTGAGCATTGATCTACTAATCAGGAGGTCACGGTTCAATTCCTGGTCAGGGCACATGCCTGGGTTGCAGGCGTGATCCCTAATGTGGGGCATGCAGGAGGCAGCTGATCAGTGATTCTCTCTCATGATTGATGTTTCTGTCTCTCTCTCCCTCTCCCTTCCTCTCTGAAATCAATAAAAATATGTTAAAAAAAATAGAGGGTGGTCCCTGGCCAGTGTGACTCAGATGGTTGGAGTATGGCCCCATGCATGGAGAGGGGGCTGATTGATTCCTGGTCTGAGCACATGCCTGGGATGTGGCCTTGATCTTCAGTAGGAGGCACGCAGGTGGCAGCCAATTGTTTTTCTCTCTTTCCCTCCCTCTCTCTCAAAGCAGTAAAAACACATTAAACAATCACTGGTGTTTCTTAATAGTGAACATCATCACACTCAAAAGCGCCGCACTCAGGACTGTCCCTTGCCTGTCTACAGACTCATCCATTCCTTTTGTGGGTCTGGATGTGTGGAGAGCAGCTACAGTGTTTGAACAGGTTCAAGCCTCGGACTAATGAGAGTGCACAGTCCTCTCATTTCCACGTGCCAGTCCCAGCTTGGAGTGCAGAACCCTCCCAGCACAATTATAGCCAACAGCTATAGTTGTAAGCTTGAACGTATGGTCCAAACACGTGGCCCCATATGCCTGAGTGATGTGGACTTGATCGAGTTCAGGTGCCTGTAATTGAGTAGGATCGCAACCCACAAGAATGTTGTAAACATCTGGACCACTCCCTTGCTTTGCCTCGTGGAATCTGACTATAAAATAAAGACACGGCTTGTAGTTCGTGGCGCTGTCGCTAGCTCTCCATCAGAGAGGACAGCGTCCTACCCAGACCCAGCTTTCATTCTCTTGTCTGTCTTTTCTCCATCCTTCACCGCCCCGTCTCAGGCTCACAGAACCTGGCTGAGCTGGCTCGGCACATAAGGCGCCAAACGTGGGGCTGAGTATGCCATGGCCGTGCCGGCTTGCCACATGGATGTTGTTGTTTTACATGTGGCCACACTTTATTGCCTCCCCCCTGGCTCCAAGTGTGGGTTGGTTAGCAGTGGCTCTCAAAAGATGTCTCAGTGAATTCCTTGTCTTCTAAATTGCTGGAGAATTGCATTTTTCCTCCATGTAGAACAATAAGGAGCCTCGTCCACTGGAGAGATGTGTGCAGTTTACTCCACACCAGGGAGACCCTCCGGGAACTGGAACTCTGTAACACTGACCTTGACGATACCTCTGACAGGGTTCTGTGTAAAGCTCTGAGCCATCCCGACTGTCAACTTCGGACACTCAAGTAGGTGTTATCTCAATCCTTTGGGGAACAGGAATAACTGGTGTGGATTTTTAAAAATTCCTTTTAAAAAAAATCTTTATTGTTGAAAGTATTACATATGTCCCTTTTTCCCTCCACTGACCCCTTCTAGCCTGCCCCCTCTGCTTCAGGCCTTCACCACCATATTGTCTGTGTCCATGGGATATCTATAATAATAAAAGTGTAATATGCTAATTAGATTGGACAGCTGAACAACCTTCCGAATGACCTTCCGTATGAAGATGGGGCTGCGAGGTCCAAGGCAACCACTGCAGCTGAGAGGGCTGAGCCCCTTGCACCAATTTCGTGCATCGGGTCTCTAATATATATATTCTTTGGTTGATCACTTCCCACCCAGGCTCCCTCCCCCATAAAAATTCTTGCTCTCAGAAATTGCATTCCAACTGTATAATGAAAATGTAATGTGTTAGGCCCTAGCTGGTTTGGCTCAGTGGATAGAACGTCGGCCTGTGGACTGAAAGGTCTCAGGTTTGATTCCAGTCAAGGGCACATGCCTGGATTGTGGGCTCGATCCCCAGTAGGGGGCATGCAGGAGGCAGCTAATCAATGCTTCTCTATCATAAATGATGTTTCTATCTCTCTCTCCCTCTCCCTTCCTCTCTGAAATCAATAAAAATATATTTTTTTAAATGCAATGTGCTAGGTAGTGTACAACACTATGAAAAGAATAGTACAAGAGTATAGATGCAATCTTTGGGCGGTCTGGGGGGAAACTGAGTTGATGCTTGATTAGGTACCAGAAAGAAGTAGGGAAGCTGGCTACATGCGTGGTAGGAAAGCATTCCTGGCGGAGAAGATGGGCCGGCAGAGGCACTGTGGTGTACAGGGAGAGTAGGAGGAAGTGAGGTCAGAGCCCTATTCGCGCCAAATCATGAAGACCTGGGCTGTCCACTTAAGGTGCTGGATTTTCTTTAAGTGAAAAACGATTTGTTAACTTATTGGTGTTAGCCATTCTGGTGGCATCTCCTTGTGGTGTTAATTTGCATCTCTCTGATAATTAATGGCCTTCAGCATCTTTTCATATATCTATTGGCCATTTTTATGTCCTCTTTGGAGAAGTGTCTCTTTAGGTCTTTGCCCATTTTTTAATGGGATTATTTGTCTTCCTGGTGTTGAGTTGAATAAGTTGTTTAGATATATAAATTTGGAAATTAACAAAGGTGAAATAAAACAGTCAGAGAAAGACCAGAATCTAATGAACAAAGTAAATTGGCAAACAAAATAGAAAGAGAGGCATGGATACATGGAACAGACTGACAGCTGTGAGAGGAGAGGGGGGCGGGGGACTGGATAAAAGGTGAAGGGATTACCCCAAAAACATATATACACAGCCCATGGACACGGACAACAATGTGGTGATAGACAGTGGGTAAGGGAGGTAGGGCAGGTGGAGTAGGGTAAGGGGGGGATGGGAACAGAAAGAGACTTTGCTTGGGGTGATGGGTGCACAGTGCAGTGTGCAGATTATGTTTTGTTGAGTTGGACACTTAAAACCTGTATGGAATTGTGAACCAACGTCACCCCAATAAATCCCATTTTAAAAAATACCACTTCAAAGCTTCGAGCAGACGAGCAAGATCTTGTACTTCACAGTATCCCTGTGGCTTTGGGTAGATTGAAGATCATGGGAGGGAAGGTGGAAGGGGGGACACTAAGTAAAAGGCTCCTGCAAGGATCTGGGGGAGAGAAGACGGAGGCCCGTGTGGGTGGTAGAGGTGGAGATGGTGAGAAATGATCAGCTTCTGCATTTATTCTGCAGGTAGTGCTGACAGCATTGGCCTTCTTTGGGGTGTTCTGTTCTTAGGGGAGGGTGTTCTCCACTTTGGGGTAGGATCCAGGGATTCTGGGACACTTGTGTTTTCTTCAGTAAAATTGTGAACTATTAACGTGTGCATCATCCTGTGGGTGCATTAGCCATGAGCATGTATGGCCTTTACTCTCGTGGGATAGACACATGGTTTAATTTCACATGAAGACAGGTGGGTGTGGTTTCTTGGTGTCACTTATGGGTACCATTGGTAGAAAGCTAATATGGTAAAAGACCCAGAGGATTATTTCCAAGTCAACAGTCTGATTGGGGGATTAGCAGAGGTCAGTGGACTTGCTAGGGAATCTAAGATGCTGAATGGTCTGGGAAGAAATGGCCCGCCCTCAGAAATGTTCTAGAATGAAGTAGGGCAGGCAGGGAAAACCGCAGAGATGTGCACATTGCCCGAGGACCTTGACTGGAACTCTTCTGCTGTTTCCTCTTTGGTAGGTTGACCTATTTCTCGGTCGACACCAGGTTTGAAGACATGTTCAAGGCAATTGTTCACAACCGGAACCTGACGTGCCTTTGCCTGAGTTGCATGCCCATCTCTTCAAAGGTGTTTTCGCTTCTGCACGAGGTCTTGACCAATCCGATGTGCAGTATCCAGCATCTGAGGTGGGTCGCCACCCAACTGAATGTACATTGTGTGTGTCGGCAGGAGTGGGGGGGAAAGAGCTGGGTGTTCTGGGGGGCTCTTTGAATAATACCTCCTGTTACTTCTCCTTGAGGCCACGTTCCTAGATTTTGGGCTCATGGTTTATTTCTCTCCTACCAGCGTCAGAGTGCAGAGAGGGAAGATGGCATCGTGTGGGCAATGAGTAGAGCATTAGACAAAGTCAAAAAGTTGGTCAAGAGCCAATTATGCAACACAACACAGGTTATGCCAGGGGGAAATCAGAAGTCACTGTAAATGTGATGGTATTCTGAGTGTCTCAATACCTGAGTTAGAATTCTGAAACACAGTCAAGATGCATATCAGGGGTGATGTAGGGGGTGGGGAGCGGGGAAGAACTGCCTACTCCATCTCCAAACTTGCCCGAATTTGAACTTGGAGAATTCTTGTGGGGCAAGATGGAGAAGCGGAAGGATCTGTTTGTTGCCCATTTTTAGGAGGTGTCCTCTCCCTTGATTGGAGCTGGTTTCTCTTGAAAGAGACATGGCTTGGAAACCTGGGCAGCCTCACCCCATCCGTGTGCATTTCCTCCTACAGCTTAATGAAGTGTGATTTGGAAGCCAGTGCCTACCAAGAACTCGCCTCTCTCCTCCTCAGCAGCAAGAACATGAAGAAACTGACCTTGTCCAAAAACGCGCTGAGTAGGGATGGGATGCAAATTTTCTGTGATGCTCTGTTCCATCCAGAATGTGTTCTCGAGTCGCTGGTGTAAGTCGGCTTATAGAATGCCACCATGTATGCTTTTGGACCTGAGCATGAATGTCTGAGCATGTGGTCAAAACACGATCATGGGTGTGCCAATGGCTGTCCCAGTAGCTCCGTTGGATAGAGCATCATCCTCATAGGTCAAGGTGGCTGTTTAGATTCCAAGTTAGGGCACATGCCCAAGTAGTGGGCTTGATTTCCGGGGTTGGGGGTGCAGGAGGCAGTTGATCAATGTTGTACTCTCACATTGATGTTTCTCTCTCTTTCCCTCTACCTTCCTCTCCTCTCTCTCTCTAAAAAAACAACTCACTATAAATTTTTTAAATAGTAAAAAAAAAAAAATGGAAATCTGAGGCTGAGTCCAACTTTTAAAAAGACAACCAATGAAAGTATAAGTGAAACAAATTGATGTTTCTCTCTCTCTTCCTCTTTCTCTCTCCCTTCTCTCTCTCTCTCTCTCTCTCTCTCTCTCTCTCTCTCTCTCTCTCTCCTTCTCTCTCTCTCTCTCTTTCTCTCCTCTCTTTCCTTCCTCTCTCTCTCTTCTCTCTCCCTTTCTTTCCTTCTCTCTGCCTTCCTCTCTCTCACTCTTCCTTACTCTCTTTCTCTCTAAAAACCAATTAAGCCCAGGATGGCATGCCTCAGTGGTTAGAGTGTTGCTCTGACACCAAAGGGTCTCAAGTTCTATTCCCTGTCAAGGGCACCTACCTGGGTTGCAGGTGGGAGAGGCAACCAATCCATTCCTCTCTTACATTGATGCTCCTCTCTCTCTCCTTTCCCCTCCATTCCATTCCCTCCCTTCCACTTCTAAAAACTCAATGAAAAAACATCCTCAGGTGAGGATTAGCAATAAATCAATGAAAAAAAAAAAAAAAACCCCACATATATAATGAGGGGAAGTATAATGGCTGAAAGCATGGTGTTCAGAGTCAGGCAGACCTGAGTTGTTACTCGCAATGGGCAACTTATTGTGTTGGCCACAGTCTACGTAGCTTTTCTCAACTTGCCTTTCACCATCAGGGGAATGGAGTCATCACGCTCCCAACCCTATGGCTTTGGAAGGTGAGGTAAATAGGGGGTTGCGTAGGCTCCAAGCACGTATGGGCCATGGCAGCTGACTTGATAAGAGTGAGGAGTTACTGTTACTTTCTCAATAAATAGCTGTGATTGGTGTCATGAGGAATGTGATGTCACTGAGGGCACCAGGAAGGATGACGATAAGAGGAAGGTGTGGAGATACATTGCCCTGAAGTAGGGACTTCTGTTTATTCTAGTTTCTACTTCTTTCAAGATAGTAGACAGGGGGCTATGTCCACATTTCTTTATTTATTTTTATTGATTGGTTTTGAGAGAGAGAGAGAGAGAGAGAGAGAGAGAGAGAGAAACATGGATTTGTTGTTCCACATATTTATGTATTTTTTTTTTTTATTCTTGTGTGTGCCCTGACCAGGAGTCAAACCCTCAAGCTTGGTGTATAGGGATGATGCTCCAACTAAATAAGCTATGGGCAGTGCATAGCAGGTGTATTGTTGTTGTTGTTTTTCAGTAGTCAGAGGATTTCAAAACACAACACCGGGAAGTAAAACAACTCTTTATAGACATTATTGTTCATGTATTGTCCTGTAGAAAAATTCATGTGGTTGATTGTAATATATCGTCTTCTTTTTTAGGTCAAACATTTCCAAATGTTCTATTAATTCCTTCTGTTCAAAACTGTATAATTTTCCCCTCATCTTTGTCACTTAAAAATTCTAAACCTTTGCTCTGGCTGCTGGGTGACTCCATTGGTTGGAGCATTGTCCTGTATCACAAAAGGTTGCAGGTTCGATTCCCAAGCTGGGTCATAACTAGATGCTGGGTCATAACTAGATTGGGAGGGACTCCATCCCTGGTCAGTATGCTGATAGGAGACAAATGATGGAAGTATCTGTCTTGTGTTGATGTTTTTCTCTTCTCTCTCTCTCTCTCTCTCTCTCTCTCTCTCTCTCTCTCAATAAAACCATACCCTCAGGTGCATTTTTAAAAAATGATAAACATTTCATAAAGTCATTCAAGCTTGTAATCAAGCTGATTATCTCTCCACCTGTGAGACCCTAAGGCTCCTAGCCCCTAGCTCTGTAATTTAGACTTAATGGTCTTGCTCAGTGATTTAAGGAGAGAGGATAATACATGCTCTTCTTTCTAACTCCAAGTCTCAAAATATATATATAATTGTCTTCAAAGCCTCGTTATGCTAGGATCTACCTGGTCCCTGAGGAACCTAGTAAGTAATTGCCAGTATTGCTTAGTTTACTTCTGTTCAAAAAAGGGCCAGAAGTTATTGGCTCAGTACTGACACTCCCAATAGGAATAATGTCGCCTCAGGATGCCATCTTCATGATTTGTTTCCTGTTTGATTTTTTCGAACAGATTTGAGATTTGATTCACATACCATATTACGCACCCATTTACGGCTTACATTCAATGCTGGCTGGTGTGTACCAGTGGTTAGAGCACTGGCCTGGGCACGGAAGGGTCTTGGATTCAAATCCCAGTCAAGGGCACCTATTTGAGATACAGGTTTGATTCCAGGCCCTAGTAGGAATGCATGCAGAAGGCAACCAATCCATGGTTCTCTCTCTCCCTCCCTCTCCCTTCCAGTGTCTCTCTTTAAAAAAAAATCGAAGGACTTGTATGCATGCATATGAGCATAATTAATGGACACAGACACTGGGGGGAGGGGGGGCATTTGCCGAGGGTAGGGGAGGCTGGGGGGAGGTCAATGGGGGAAAAAGGAGACATATGTACTATTATTTGTAATACTTTAAATACTAAAAAAAAAAGGAAAAAAAAGAAAAAAATCAATGAAAAAAATATCCTCAGGTGAGGATTAACAAACAATAATGATAAGGTATACATCTAATGGTCTTTCGGTACACTCAGGGTCCTAGAACCATTACCACCATTAATTATAGGATATCTCAGGTGGTTGAACTGTGTTATTGACTCAGAATCTTCTTCTTCTTCTTTTCCTTCTTCTCCTTCTCCTCCTGCTCCTTCTTCTCCTCCTGCTCCTCCTCCTCCTTCTTTTTCCTTTTCTGATTCCCCACAGGTTGCTCTTCTGTTGTCTCACATTACGTTCCTTAAGCTTAATCTCGAGAAGTCTCGTCCTCACCGAAACTCTGAAGCACCTGGATGTGAGCGTGAATAACATACGAGATAACGGAGTGCTGGTGCTGATGATGTCCCTGGTGTTCCCAACCTGTTCGGTTCAAGAGCTGGAGTGAGTCTTGCCACCGCTGTGGTCTTCCTTGGACAACCGTGTGGCTTCTGCAAAAGGGTTTGGGGATGGGAGTTGCCTTGTTTTACTGTTGTGACTCCTCACCTGAGGATTTTTCCCCCGTTACTATTTACAGAGTGGAAGGGAGGCAAGGAGGGCAGGGGAGAGAGAAAGAGACAGAGAGAGATTGATGTGAGAGAGACACATTGATTGGTTGTCTCCAGCACATGCCAGGCATGGAACCTGCAGCTCAGGTACATGCCCTTGACTGGGAATGAAACTCTCAACCCTTCGCTGCATGGGCTGCGGCTCTGACCAATGGGCCAACAGCAGCCAGGCAATGATGTTGGTTTTGGACATAAGTAGGGAAGGTAGAATGATGAGCATCAAAAGAGCTTGCCGAGAACAACTCCTTGGAGCTCAAGTGTAGCATCACAAAAACACAGATTAGAAATGGTATCTGATCACTTCATCAATCACATAATTGTCTAGCAACTATGCTGTACGCTGGAAATGGATACAGATTATTGAATGTCCATTGTAATTAAAAAAAAATTTTGGTATCTGAGTCTTCAGACAAAAATTGTTACAGCCCAGCTGGTGTCGCTCAGTGGTTGAGCATCAACCTATGAACCAGGAGATCATGGTTTGATTCCCAGTCAGGGCACATGCTTGGGTTGTAGGCTTGATCCCCAGTAGGGGGTGTGAAGGAGGCAGCCGATCAATGATTCTTATCATTGATGTTTCGATCTTTCTCTCCCTCTCCCTTCCTCTCTGAAATCAATAAAAATATATACAAAATGCTTACAGTGTTCTGTCTGTTTCCCTGGTTATAAAATCATGATAGGAGCTGAGTTAGTATTCAGTTAGAACTGCGAATATTACCTGACTGTTCTTTTTCTAACTTTTATTTTTGTTGTTCACACTATTGCAGATGTTCCCACTTTCCCACGTTGCCCCCATCTACCCAGTCCCTGCCACCCCTTCCCTCTGGCCATCACCACATGCGTGCCTGTGTCTATGGGTGATGCATATATGTTCTTTGGCTAAGCCATTCACCTTCTTTTATGGATCCCTCTTCCCCCTCCACTTTGACATCTGTCAGTATGTTCCCCGCATCCATGGCTCTGCTTCTATTTTGTTAGTCAATTTTGTTCATTAGATTCCACATGTAAGTGAGATCATGTGGTATTTCTCTTTCGCTGACTGGCTTATTTCATTTGGCATCCTAATCTCCAGGTCCATCCATGCTGTTGGAAAAGGTAAAATTCCCTTCCTTTTTACTGCCACGTGGAATTCCATTGTGTAAATGTGCCACAACTTACTTATTGATTGATTGATTGATTGATTAAGGTATTACATATGTGTCCTTTTCCTCCCAATTGTTCCCCTACCTCCCCCGCTCACGCCCTCACCCCCCTAGTGTCTGTGTCCATTGGTTAGGGTTATATGCATGCATACAAATCCTTTGGTTGATCTCTCCCCTTTCCCTCACACTCCCCTACCTTCCCTCTGAGGTTTGATGGTCTGATCGATCCTTCTCTGTTTCTGGATCTGTTTTTGTTCATCAGTTTATGTTGCTCAATCTATTCCACAAATGAGTGAGGTCATGTGATATTTGTCTTTCTCCAACTGCCTTATTTCGCTTGGCATAATGCTCTCCAGGTCCATCCATGCTGTTGCAAATGGTAGGAGTTAATGTGCCACAACTTTTTTATCCACTCCTCCACTGAGGGGCGCTAGGGCTAGTTTCCAGATCTTGGCTATGGTACGTAATGCTGCTGTGGACATAGGGGTGCATATAGTCTTTCTAACGGGTGCTTCGGGATGCTTAGGATAGGTTATAGGTTACTGTTGTCTCTAGGGAGTCCCTTCTTCATGGACATCATGAGGGAGGTTCAAGGGCACTCACCACTTCATGCTCTGAGAACCTTTGAGACGGGCAGTCATGATTCCAGTTCACCTCTCTCTCTCTGCAGGATATCCGGCTGCTTTTTCACGGCTAAGGCCTGTGAATACATGGTCTGTGCTCTGCAAAATAACCCCAATTTGAAGAGCCTGGAGCTTGGGAGCAATAACGTCGGGGATGCGGGAATGGAGCTGCTGTGTGGTGCTATGAAACATCCCAACTGCAAGTTGGAGAACATCGGGTAGGTGCCTGGGCAGGGAGAGAGCTCTTGTGTAGACTTTGGAAGGGCTGAGGGGATAAATACAACTGGAAATGGGAAGTGGAAACTCGGTTGTATTGGTCTGGTGTTCGGAATGACGCTCTATGGACACATTCTCTAGTGCACAACTTGGGAGGGAAGTGTTCGGGGCACTAGTCCATACCCATATGCTTGGCCCACCTTGGCTCCCCAGGGACTGGGCCCAGCTCCCGTGTGCGTCTCTCCTCACAGGCTGGAAGAGTGCATGTTAACCAGTGCCTGCTGCGCATCCCTCGCCTCCGTCCTTATCAGCAGCAAAACTCTGAAAAAAATCAATCTGCTTAGAAACAAGTTGGGCAACGAAGGAATTGTGCAACTTCTGGAGGGCTTGGGACACCCAGATTGTGTCCTCCAGACAGTCGGGTGAGTGGGACTCTGTACCCCTTGGCGACTGGGACAATTCTGTGATGAGATGGTCCAGGGAGTAAAGGTGATGGCAGATGCTGTGGCAGCGTCTATACCTAGAAAATGAGCAGAATGGTCTTCTCTGTTGGGATATTGAAAATATATGTAGCCCTAGCTGGTTTGCCTCAGTGGATAGAGCATTGGCCTGCAAACTGAAGGTCCCAGGTACGATTCCGGTCAAGGGCGCATGCCTGGTTTGCGAGCTCCATCCTCAGGAGGGGGTGTGCAGGAGGCAGGTGATCAATGATTCTCTCTCATCGTTGAAGTTTCTATCTCTCTCTTCCCCTTTTCTCTCTGAAATCAAGAAAAATATATTTAAAAATATATATGTAGAATCCTTAGAGCTAGAACCCAGTCAATGTGAGTAAAAAGTAACTTTGGACCCTAACGGGTGACTCAGTTGGCTGGAGCATTATCCCGTACATGAAAAGGTTATGGGTTTGATCTGCACTCAGGGAACATGCCTAGATTATGGGTTTAGTCTCTGGTCTGGGCACCTATAGGAGGCAAAATTTCTCCTATAGGAGATCAATGTTTCTCTCTCTCTCTCCCTCCCTTCCTTCCTCTCTCTCAAATCAATATCCTTTAGTAAGAATTGAGAAAGAACAATTGAAAATTCCGCAAGGCAGTAGAGTGTTAGCCAGGCAAGAATAACTCTTACCTACTCTTGCATGAAGGGAATGGCATCACCTCATTTTTGCCTATTGGTTCGGAGCCAATCACAGGTGCCTCCTCCACTCAAGGGCGTGAAGACCATTGAGAACCATCTTGGAGGTTGCCAACCACCATATCTGTAAACATTGTGTCCACACGTCTGCACACCTTCTCACAATATCTCGCATGCTCTTCCTACTTGCCTTATTTTTTTCTTTGGTTTGTGTTTTTGTTGGTTCAATATTATCCCCCCCCGCCCCCACCCCCCCTGCAGGTTTACTGGGGTGTCATGGACATGTAACATTGTGTAATGAGTTCACATATGTATGTATTTGGAATTGATGACCACGATACGAGTAGTTAACATAGCCATCTCATCACTTATAGTCACCACTGGTGTGGGTGTGAGAACTTTTAAGATCTACTCTTAGCAATGTTTTTTACTTCATTATTATTATTGACACTATTACAGATGTCCCCATTTTCCCTATCTTTACCCACCTCCTTCCAGCCTGCAGCCCCCATCCCCTCTGGCCATCACCACACTGTTGTCTATGACCATGGGCTATGATGCGTATATATCCTTTGGCTAATCTCTTCACCTTCTTTCTCCAGTCCTCCCTCTTCCTTCCCCTCTGAGATCTGTCAGCCTGTTACATGTATCCATGCCTCTGTTTGTATTTTGTCATTTTATTCAGTTCATTAGAGTCCACATATGTGACATCATATGGGATTGTGTTTCTCTGCCTGGCTTATTTCATTTAGCATAATTCTCTCCAGGTCCATCCATGCTGATTCAAAGGGTGAGGGGTTCTCTTAGCAAATTTCAAGTCTACAATACGTATTGTCGAGTCCCCTATAGTCCTCATTACTTAGGCCTTTTCCATGTCTTGGCAATTGTAAATAATGCTGCAATGAACATGAGGGTGTAGATAGCTCTTCAAGATATAATTTAAGTTTTTCAAGTATAGAAGTGGACTTGCTGGGTCATATGGTAGTTCTATTTTTAACGTTTCAAGGAACTTCCGAACTGTGTTCCATAGTGGCTACACCAACTTGCACTCCCACCAACAGTGCACAAGGGTTGCCTTTTCTCCACAGCCTCACCAGCACTTGTTGTTTGGATATTTATTGAGGATAGCCCTCTGACAGGTGTGAGGTGATGACTTGCTGTGGTTTTTACTTTATTTGCATTGTCTTCATGATCAGGGATGTTGAGTAACAGTATTTTGGTTATCAGGGGGGAGGGGGTGGGGATTGTAAAGGGTAAAAGTTGTGAAATATATGGTTTTGGAAGATGATCTGACTTTGGGTGGTGGGTACACAATGCAACATACAGCTCATGGATCATAGAAATGTACACTTGAAACCCATATGATCTTATTAACCAACTAGAGGCCCAGTGCACGGGATTCATGCACTGGTGGGGGTGTAGCCTGTGGGGATCAGCCTGCAATGGGAGCACCACTCATCCTGGTCAGCTGATCAGCTGTGGACCCGCCAGCTGAGCTGCACTCCCATTGTGGTAGCACACTGACCACCAGGGGAAAAGTTCCTGCGTTCAGCGTCTGCCCCCTGGTGGTCAGTGTGCGTCATAGTGACTGGTTGACTGGTTGTTCCACCATTTGGTTGCTGGGCTTTTATTATATAGGATGTCACTCCAATAAATTTAACTTTTAAACAATGAATGAAAGAAATGAACCTTGTTTCAAGTGTTATAGGTTGTCAGTACTTACCTGCTAATTGGGACGTTTACATACAGAGAGGGCACAAGGAAATGAATGTGCCTCCCAACCCCCGTCCTTGCTTCAAAGAAATTGAATCAAATGCTATGATCATGGCGCTGGAGTAAGTGCTCCTCTATTCTCTAATCATGTAAACGTACATAGTTTTTATTTTTTATTTTTCAATTACAGTTCAAGAGTATATGGGTTTCTGGCGTACATCAGAGTTGTTAGACATTTGTATAATTCACCAAGTGATCCCCCTGAAAAGTCTGGTCCCCCCTGGCAGCATCCATAGTTATTAACGATCTGATTGACTATTTCCCCTATGCATGTAATCATATTTTAATTAAAAAACTATGACCCTCCATGTCATAATCAATAAATTATTGATGGTATCATTTGTGGTGACCACGTAATGCTACATGCATGGGAAGTATTGATTATTGAGTTCCACAGTGTCAGTGGCTAGTATTAATTTAAACTCTTCTTCCAATGGAATTCTGGCCTTGTAATCCAATGCGTAATGGAGGCCACTCTGTCTACTCCCAGAATAAGAGTTTTTAGTCTATAAGATAGTCTCCTTTTCCCTCGGAGTCCACATCGAAGACTCCCAAGAATGCCTGAAGAATGACATATGGGGATAAGGGTCCTTGAGGCCACAAAGCCGAACTAGAGCACGGAGGATTAACAGAGTTCTCCCTCGATATTTTCTCAGGCTCGACATAAAGGATATGAATGCAGAAACCATGATGTTGTTCACGACTGTAACAAACAAAAACACCCACCTGCATGTCACGGACCAATCTTGGGCGAAGAAGGAAGGCAGAGAAGTCAGTTGTAATCTGGGGGACGTAAGTCTTTCTCGGTCCGTCCTGCGGCTGCCTGACCTGCCTTGGCATTTAGTCTCTTCAGACTCGAGAAGAAATCAGCCACTGTTCTGAGGACCTGCCTCCGTCCTGCCCTCCCTACAATGTGTTGGGCAAGAATTCCGGGCGCGGCTGGGAAAACGAGTTACGGTTTCTTGTCAATATTTGTTTGGGGACTTGATGGAGTCAACCACTTTCTCTATAAAACTCCTACACTGTGCACATGAGTGAGAAACGCATTCTGTGAAGTAATAAAAAGTCACAATGCATCGGGAAAATGTTCCCTTCCTTCTATCCAGGGGCTGAGTGGAGTCTCTCATTGAATTGGAGGCCTGTGGTCCCTTCACTCCTGTCCAGGGAGAGCTGCCAACAGGTACCCCTCGGCGTCCCTTGAGAAGAAACACTTAGGTGCCATTCCCACCTTTGTGTTTCTACATCAACTGCTTCATCCTGATTTCCTTACCCTCCAATGGAACTGCTTCCCTTATCTCACCCGTCTCTGCTCAGGAATGTACAGGTGTCCCATGGGGCACAGAGTGACTCGCCCTAAATTCCAAGATATGTGAGATCCATGTAACCTCATTAAATCCTCTCCTTTTATTATTTCTTTCAAAGGGGAAGTGGGAGAGTTGGCATCTTGAATAACTTTCCCAGCTGTGACAGCCCATGTGTGGCACCACATTGGGAAGCATTGGGGGACACAGTAGGAGTGCCCAACCAGTGAAAGGGAGCCGTCATGTAAGTTGGGTAGTTTGAGGTACACAAGGGCTGAAAATCTCTTTCTGGAGAACAAGTACATTCTCACCAACATGGGTAGGGGTTGTCTTTTTACACACTTTTGCCAACAGGCGTCTCTCCGTTTGGTCCATCTGTCCTTCTGAGCCTTTCACTCTCTCCCTCGTCCCATGTGTGATCTCCTGTCATCCGGTCGGTGACGCTCAGCCTCTGACTCCCCCTGACACCCCATCCTGCTCTCCGTCTCCAGGTGCAGGGAGTGCGGCCAATGCATTTTCCACCAGGTTTGGAATAACTTACTTTCCCACCAGGAACATATGAGAGAGAACGAGTCCACATTCTTGTGAACAATTGGTTTTGTCTGACTCTGTCATTCTCAATGCTGGGAGGTGTGCAGCAATATCACATTATGGCTGAATTTCAGTTTCTCCTCTGACTCAAACTGTTGGGCAATTTTCCTAACTGTATGGACCATGTAACCATCCTCAATAGGACGATGGACTGGACATGGTTCATGAGTGAGTGGGCCTCTGGCAATGTGCCAGCATCTTCAATTATTGGGACACTGTTGTTATGAATGGATCTGAGAAGGTGTCTGGTCTTTGCCCCTGGCTCCTGGCACTGAGCTCCTAAAACCCTGGGCATCTCCTGAGTGACAAGTGTCTCTGGGACGCTGATGAGATGGCTCTTGGCTGAGGGCCCTGGAGGCTTCAGGGTGGGGGCTGGTCCCCAGAAAGACCAAGCTGATCAGAGGGTTGGAATCTTCAGGCCCTAGAAGGAGGCAAGAGCAGGAGGAGCCTGAAAATGCATCTCTCCACACCACAGTCCTGTGTGCAGGGACCCCTGGGCCAGCGGGACAATGACGGCAAAAATGAGCCCTGATACTGTCAGACAGGGACACCCAGAGAATGAGACCAAAACTCCTACACAAACACAGTAACAGGCATCACATCCACCAAAGCAAAGAAACAACAAACACCCAGAAGAGAGGTTCTGAGGGCCAGACCCAGACCTGAGCCTCGGATGACGAGGGGCCTGGAGATGTGATTCATTCGAACAAGTGACAAGGCCCGTGTGTCCCTGTGAGCGCAGGTCCTGGTGGGACAAGGAACACTGAGGGACAAGGTCAGAGGAGCAGAGAGGTGACCGGCCGAGGAGTGACCACGTCAAACCCACGATGCACTGAGCACCACCTGGGCACAGGCACCGACCACACTCCGTCCTCACAGCCTCTCCCCCCCCCTGCAAAGAGCACAAAATACACAGGAATCTGCAGAACCCTTGGTGCTTCCATTTATTTCCTCTGAGAAAATAATTAATTAAAGGATCTCCTTTAATTACCCGTCACCAGTCACGGCAAGAATTAAAACACGATGTCAATCCACAGTCTCATTTCAATACAAAGCAGGAAGTTGCAGCTCAGAGCAGCAGGGAGTAACGGCAGGGATGGGGAGGACCCTACCTGCCTCTGCTGACAGGAAAGCATGGGGAGCAGGGCGGGGCCAGCCCCCCATCAGAGGTTCTTGAGTCAGGAAGTGGGAGCGTGAACACATCTTCCATCACTCAGTCCCCACAAGGCAGCTGCCTCACGCTGTGGAGGACAAGCATCATGAACACATTCAGGTCAGTGGCTGTAACTGGTGACATTCTCAAAGCCCACTTCATGCTCACAGTGTCCCACAGACTCCCCACCACCCAGTCCTCCCCTCTGCCCACCCCTCCCCACGGCAGGGTCTCCCCTTTAGAAGCCGAGAGAGACACATCAGAGCCCTGGGCGCTGTCACTGCCTGGGGGGGACACACCAGGACGGGGTCAGAGCCCCAGGGCAGGAGACTAAGGAGGAACTATGGGGGGAAGGGAGGTCCCAAATGGGCTTCCATCTGCACTGTCATAGGGTCTCAGGGGTAACCCCTCCATACTCACTGGCAGCCTGAGCGTAGCTCCCTCCTTTCCCACCTGCGGGAAGAAAATATCCCCTGAGAGACCAGGGAGGAGGCAGGGCCATGAGATCCTAAAGGAAGCCCAGGTCCTGGGTCCCAGAGAAATTTCCAGAGCCCTGTGTATAGACCCAGGGCAGGACCAGGAAACCTGAGGGAAGTGCATGTGTGGGGACTGGACCCACCGCCCTCCTGGAGGTCTGTGCTCAGCAGGGACCTGCCCTCTGACCTGGGGCTGCTGGGAACGGGGTCCCCACCACCAGCATCATCAGGTGATAAGTGGGTCCCTCATTTTCCCACGGGCCTCACTACAGAGTAAGTGTGAGCA